ACACACACTTATTTTATTTATTTCCGTTGTGCACCAGACTTTAACAATCTAGTTAAGAGTTTTGGTTTCTTTGTGCCTTAGCAATTGTTATAATTTGGCAAAACGATTTAAAAGTCTATTCACCCCCCTCCCCCCCTCCCCCCCTCTAGACTTTTACCACACCTCTTTTGGGACCAACAAGTTCTCATTTAACAAAAATTTTCAATTATCATAGAAGCAATTGATAGATTATCAACGAATAAATTTTAAAATAAATTTTACGTAAATTACTTATGCCTTCATACAACTTCACAACATAATAATTAAATATTGTGTTATGTTGTCAACATTATGTTTTCTATATATGATTTTCTTAATGTCGCTATCAGCACACAAAAGAAAAAAAAAATGAAATTTATGATTAAAAATTGGACTATTCCTCAATTAATAAGCTAGGAAACTTCATAAAAAAATTTTGAAAACAAGAAATAAGAGTAAATTGAATTTAGAAATTACTTGCTCTCGTTTTGAATAACATGTCACACCAATGTATTAAAGCATAGAGTAGTTGTCATATATAGATATACATATCACTTGAATTCAATTGTCTCAATTCAACAGCTTTCACAGATTGATATCTAAAAATCATGTGGCACATATGAGATAAATATTTGTAAATTGCACATAATTACTATATCAAAACCATATTTATTTAAATTTGAAATAAGAGGGTAAACAAACTAACATCAATAAACGTGAGACATGGCGTTAGTTTTTGTCTGGTGCAACAATGGTTTGCGAAATGTACTCTATGATTTCTTGATAAACAATATTATTTGTAATATTAGTCAGTTTGTTGTGACCATCATCATTGAATATAATCATCTTGACAAAATCAATTTTTTTTGCTCGAGATATAACAACATACAACTTTCCATGACTAAAAACTGGCTCTTTCAAGTAAATTCCAACAAAATCTAGTGTTTGCCCTTGAGCTTTGTTAATTGCCATGGCAAAACACACTTCAATAGGAAATTGGGTTCTTTTAAAGATGGACAATTTTCATCATTTGATGGCTCAAGAGGAATTCTTGGAATAAAGATATGTTTTCCTTTGTATTCACTAACTGCAATCAAACAACTGATGAGATGATCTTCAAATGAATCACAAACTATTCTCGTCCTGTTACATAATCCTTCAGATGGATTCAGATTTCTCAATAAAATTATAGGACACTTTTTCTTCAGAAGTAACTTGTGATGAGGCAAGCCAGCCGGGGATAAAGTGTGTAAATAATCTTTACAATGCAACTGTTTCGAATCAAGTGGTTCATCAAAACTAACATAACACTTACTTTCTCTCGGGAATCTATCTATTAAGATAGAATTAATTTCATTGCAATCTCATTCTTAGTTGTTAAGATGGCTCTGCTCATTAACGAATAAGGATCATTCCTGAAACATGTTAAGCCAGGATATACGGATTGAAATAAAGCATCAAGAGAAATATCTTCATCCGAACATGGAATAATGAATGAAGATGGAATCTTAATCTTGTCTCGACCAATGAATTGTTCAATTCCATTGCCAATTTTCATCAAGTACTCACAAAATGTTGGAACCTCATTTGCACTTACATTTTGGACCAATTTTAATCGTTGGATGTTTGGCCAAATTGATGGTGATTTAACCAAACTCGCTTCAATGAAATCTTCTTTCTTCCCATATCTAATAACTGGCAATGTTTGTCGAAAATCACCTCCAAAAACAACCATTTTTCCTCCAAAAATTTGATTTGTGTCCATAATATCTCTAAGCGTTATATCAACACTTTCAATAACCTGATGGTTACCATAGAGGCTTCATCCCAAAGAATCAATCTACATTTTTTTAATAAAGTAGCTTCTACAATTCGTTTTCCAATATTGCAGACATACTTATCATCTCCATCAATTGGTATTTTGAATGTAGAATGAGCACTACGACCACCAAGCAAAATAGATGCTGTAATTCCTGAACTTGCAATTGCAAGTACTATCCATTGTTTAGACATGACAGTAGCTAATAAGCGTTTATATAGAAAGGTCTTACCAGTACCACCTGGGCCATCTATACAATAAACTCCACCCGAGTTCGAAACGATACTTGCCATAATAGTATCAAATGCTTTGCGTTGCTCAACATTCAATTTTTCCATACAAAGCAAGTCATATTCACTTGTATGTTATATTCAACTGCAATTTCTCTATCCTCCGTTTCTTGGGTTGATAGAGATAACTTGTTATCGACAAAGTTAAAGTCACCAATCTTCTTCCCCATTTTTTCTACTGTATTTGCAATTAATTGAAGCACAAAAACTTAGAAGGGTTGCAAATAGTCTCCTAAAACTTGATGGCATCTGGTATAATACTGCTTCATCTAGACATTTTTCGACAATATGATCCCCAGATAACAGACCCAATTTTTCAGCTACCTCACGAAATGTTACTGCTTGATGGTCATTGACAGTTTTTAAGTGGTCAAATGATTTGGGTGTCCTAACATTCATCAAAAATAGGCGTAAATAGTAACGCTCTCCTTCAGTTGGATTGACTGTCACAAGTCTAACTATGACTTCTTTCTTCTTTCTTTGTGTCCACATTTTTCTTTGATTGTTCCACACAAAATATTCAGGGAATTGAATATAAAGCAAGTTGAGTTTTTTCGCAACTTCATCAACACAATTCATGTAGAAAAATTGTGTTAACATTGTGCGAGAAGCAAAGTCATCTACAAAGTAACATAAAGACTTCATATAAGTAAAAATCACAATATCACTCAAGTCTGTGACGTTTATCTCTCACATAGTGATTGTCAACATTTGATGGAAGTAAATTTGTTGAATCTTCCACCGGAATGCTAGATTCTCCAAAGGAAAGTTTCTTTTTAGTACCGGTAATTGATGAAGTTGATATATCTTCACAAATATATGCAACTGTGTAATTCGTTGTCATTCCTCCCCGGTCTTGGGGTTGACACCCAAGCTCAACTGTAAAAGTGGGTGTATCAAGTTTTTTTTTGGAGCTTTTGAAAATGAAGCCATCATTTCCATTCTCTATTTCTGTTAAAGAAAATAACTTATCCACATGAGGATTAAACATTGTTGCTTCAATTCTATCTGTCCCATCAAATAGCTCAACAATTAATCTATATCTGTAATATAGAGGGCTTGCCAATTCACTAATATCAACGACTTTTTTAAATTTGTAATTTGTGATATTTGTTGATCTAGAGGGCTTTCCAATTCACTAATTGCATTGTTATGTGCTTTTTCAACAATCAATCTTTCAATAACCAAAGAGTTAGCCTTCACCCTATCAACAACATAGAAGCATTTAGCATGTGGAATAAATAGAACGTTTGAATGACAAAAGATGAATTTAGGTTATGATTCTTTAAGAGCCTCAGCACGTTTACCAAATGGATTCACTTCTACACCAGAATCAGATTTTGTAGATAAGGAAATTCCTATTTAACATGTTAAACACACTTGATAAGGAAAATGACAAGTACATCATTTCATCCTACCGGCAACATTTGAGTTAGAAGGATGAAATTTATGGCTTGCATGGTTTTAGTGATGCAATTTATTTTCAGTTAAAGAAATAAGCATAAAAGACTTTACTACTAAAGAAAAATTTTACTTTGTATAACACAATAGAACATCCAGAATGCGGTCTCCATAATTGACTTTAAAGTCCTCACATGGATACAATACTTAACTAGATAGTACTCACTACTCAGTACATCTTATTTCAATGTTCATAGTTCCCTCCAACATATTACAATATAAATAAGTTCAGGCAAGGGTGAGGCACAAACATTGAAATATGGAATACAAGTTGGACTCTTATTAGAACTATAAATAAGCTAAAATTAATATTGAAATTACAATATTGGTTTGTACATATATTTTTGCAGCATGAAAATATGAATTACAATTAATTGATAAGAAAATTATTCATGCTGCAGAAATTTAGTCTTTCTAACAACCACATTTAATACTTGATCATGTTATTGATACTCACTCTTTCATAATTAACTTATTGAAATGAATATTATGATCGCATGCAGACCTTGATATGGGGTGACAGTAATCCTTTTTCCAAGAACAATTAGATAATCTCCTGATTGGAGTTCTTTGTCAATTTCAACCCTTTGGTAAATCGTAAAATTTCCCCACATTGTGAAAATGATAGGTTTAAGCCTACGAGATTAATAAGGAAGTTATAAACCAATTATATTTAGAGTGAATTTCATTTTTAGTTCTACTGTTATAGGGGCGTTTCCAATTTTAGTCCACCTTAATTTTTTTTGCCACTTTATAACCACTATTATTGAATGTGTTCCACTTTTAGTCCCACCGTTAGTATTTCCATCAAGAGGTCGTGTAATCTAGGGGTATTTTGACCTTTCTTCTCATCCAAGACTATGTTTGACTAAAGAAATGAGAACATTAAACCTAAAACCTAAGAAACATCGTCGGCCCATGTTGGAACGAACGAAACGATGTAGCTTTGGCTTCCCATTCTCGTTGTTCGAAGAGCCATCTTCGAATATCGAAGGAGGAGGACGAAGAGCCTGGATTAAAAGAGATGAGACAAACATAAAAAGATCAAAATACCCTTTGATTATACGGCCTCTTGACGGAAATATTAATGGTGGACTAATAGTGGAACACATTCAATAACAGTGGTTGTAAAGTGGAAAAAAAAATTAAAGTGGACTGAAATTTGAAACGCCCCTATAACAGTAGGACAAAAAATGAAATTCACTCTTATATTATTATGACAAGCTTAGTTGACAATAATATTTTATTTGTTGATACACAATGCAATAAAATAATCTAAAAACAAAACATAAAATAAAGTGTAAATTAATCATGCTTCCTTCCAAACTATAATAGAGAATTAAAAACTTTCAAAGTTAAATAAATTGAATAAACATACTCTTCATCAACCATCACAAAATCATTAGCTTTTCGTTGTCATGTACTGTTGGTGACAATAAATTCTCTTGGTAGTTTAGAAATCACAACTCCAATGATATCTACAAATAATATTAGAATTAGATTGACACAATATGTTCTAAATATAAATAATTGTTCACAAAAAAAAAAAAAAAAACATATGGAAAGAATCTAAACTCACTGATTGGTTGTCTTTTAGATTTGTAGGCATACAATTGTCCAAATGGTTTTGTATCCATGTCAGAAGAAGGTTGCAAATCCAATTGTTGATCATCATCAACATCTTGTATAATAGTTTTCCTATTAATTGACCAAACAAACATATATCTCTCATCTGGGACATTGAAAAATTCATTAGCCCGAGAGACTAATGCATTAGAGATAATATATGTGGAATATAACTTGAGTCTTTCATCAAGCAGTTCAATATCATTCTGATAAGTTATTCCTTGAACTTTGTTGCTCTATAATTATATTTCAAAATAAATGTCAATAATTATTACAAAATATAACAAACATTCATAATCCTAACATATGCATAATAGAATTATGTTTAAAATTGAGAAATGATAAAAGGAGTAACTGCTCCATCTTGAAATGTTATAGGTTTGTACAATGTTCAAGGTTTAGTCTTTGACTCTCTTGTGTGCAACTTTTCAATAACACAAACTTTACAACTCCATTGTTTTATGTCAGTTGTGATTTGAGGGATTAAAAGGTGAGATTCCATTTCTAAAAAAAATAATATCTATATATATATGTGTGTGTGTGTGTGTGTGATGTGAAAATGCAGTAGTAATACAAGATATTCATGAAAGCATGTGCACCACAGGGGAGGGAGATATACCACATGAAATGATATAACTACATAAAGCATAAAAACTATACAACATTTTTAGCATATCAGAAATCAGAAAGAAACATAAAAGTTTTATCCAAAATGAGCAAGAAATAGTAACTCACTATAAAATTGAATTGCAAGATGCAATAGGAAAAGGAAAAGATCAGAAACTCAACATTGTATTATTGACAATTGGTAACTATAGCTAAAATGTCAATCCCATCATGTCATACATAAGCATAAAAACTATACAACATTTTTAGCATATTAGAAATCAGAAAGAAACATAAAAGTTTTATCCAAAATGAGCAAGAAATAGTAACCCACTATAAAATTGAATTGCAAGATGAAATAAAAAAGGAAAAGATCATAAACTCAACATTGTATTATTGACAATTGGTAACTACAGCAAACAGAACTACAGAAGATTGATGTTATGTAAATTTGTGATGGTAAGAATCTAATGCTTAAATAGAGGAACACAAATTAAGAGATGAATAAAAGGTAAAGTTTAAAAATTTTCAAGAGGGGTGAATAAGAAATGAATTGGAGAGAGGAAACATAAAATAATAGGAATGGGCATTAAGCTTGAGATTAGGGATGACAATTTCAATCCGCCTCGCGGATATCCACCCGAATCCATCCCGTGTGGGTCGGGTTTTTTTTGGGTGGTAGTTGGTGATGGGTCGGGTGTGAGTCTTAAAAAAGTAAACCCGCGGTGGGTCGGGTTGGATTCGGGTTCTATGTAAAAAATTTTGCTTAGAACCCCATTCGACCCACCATGTAGTTATTTATAAAAGTTTCTATAACTTTATGTAAATTTTTACTATTTTTATATCTAAACTACTAAGTTTATTTTTAAAAATTAACAATTTAGTTATTATATTTAAATATTACTATTATATTATGTTTTAGTATAACTAATAAATTTTATTATTTTATTATGTGTAAGTAATTTAAATATTATTTTTTTAAAAAAATAATAAGATTATAAGTGGTGGGTACCCGTAGTGGGCACCCGCACCCGGTGGGGGTAGGGATGGGTTTTGAAAAGTCCACCCGATGCAGGTTGGGGGTGGGGGTGGGTGGAGAAAATATAATGTGGGTCGGGTGATGGATGTAGCCATCCCCGACCCACACCCGACCCATTGTCATCCCTACTTGAGATACAGGGGACTACAAACTACTACTTTTTCTATCCTTATGCTAAGTGACATTGACTGCTGAAATCAAACATAAAAAAAATAGCAAATGAAACAGGTATCTTATTTAAGAGATCCAAACAAACAATGAAAGAACGACATTTACCAATAAGAGCTATTACTTCTAAATTGGACCATGATATAAAATCCAATATTCATGCACATTTCATAGATTTCAATTTTACTCTTTGAGAATGTAAGATGTTAGTTTTGTTTCACTCCAGAATAAGTATTCAACAATATGTGCTTCTACTCAATCACATATTTATACACATGAAGGGAAAAACAATCAAATTAACAACATAAAGAATTTAATTAAAGTTGTTGAGAAAAATAAACCTCTGAAGAAAATAGCAAATGAAACAGATATCTTATTTAAGAGATCCAAACAAATAATGAAAGAACGACATTTACCAATGAGAGCTACTACTTCTAAATTGGACCATGATATAGAACCCAATATACAGACACATTTTGTAAATTTTCGTCATGAATTTTACTCTTTTTAGAAGGTAAGAGGTTAGTTTTGTTTCACTCATTTAACAATGTGTTTCTACTCAATCACATATTTATACACATGAAGGGAAAAAATCAAATTAACAACATAAAGAATTAATTAAAGTTGTTGAGAAAAACAAACATGTGAAGAAACTTGTGCACGGAGAAACACACTAAATTTTTAGAAAAGAAAATAAATAACATGCAACAATTGTTTTGTGGTGCCTTCACTGTACAATGGGGTCTTTAAATAGCAGAGGGTAGATAGAGTAAAAAAGGCATACTGGGTGAACAGCCGAAAGAAGTGTTGAATAAAATTAGAAAACATAAATTTACCTTTGATGAAAACATTAGAAAACCCATTGAATCCCTTTAAGTGCTTCAATCCTTCAACCCAATCACTGCAATAGGCCAATAGCATATTGAGACTCAAATACATACGTGATGAAGGAGGAAACATATGAGATTATTATGCGATGAAGGAGGAAACGTCTTAGATTGTTGCGTAATGAAGGAAGATGAAGGGGAAATGTACGTCTCAGTCTTAGTTCTTTCGCGATAAGGAAGATGAAGCCTGAAGGAGAAAACATGGAGTCAGATCTTACGCGTTTATGCAATTGTCAACCTTAATAATAAACAATTAATAATATTAACAGAATATGCTGGGCATTTAACAGTAACAGAATATGCTTGGACAATTTTGTCATAAAACAAATAATGTACAATATTGAGAACATAATGTACAAACAACTCAGCAATAACAACAAAAACATAAACCCAAGGACATAAAATGTATTAATACTTATTATATTTTTAGACATTGCATAAATGTTTATATATTGAATACTATGGTTATTTCCTCTACAAAGTTTAGCGCATACTATGAACCAGTTTAGGCTTTAAATATTTTTAACGCCTAATACCTAATTTAGTAAGATATTTACAAGATGTTTTAGTTCCATGTGCTCTGTACATATTTGTTGCGCCCCATTAATACCTTGTTATCATCTTACTTATAATACTATTATTCTATGATTATGAACACCAATAAGAAGTAAGATGAGAATTGTAATAGCAGCAAGTCTATTAATTAGTAGATATCATTATTAATATCTTTGTACAGATTCACGGTGTGTGCAATTTATGGATGGTGCATTTTGTCTAGGTTGTCTGTGCGTTTTAAGGGTCACGGTGTGTGCGTATTTGTGTGGTAGTGCAATCAGGGTATTCTAGTCATGTTTGTGCATAGGGAGGCTGTGGGGGTGTGCATTATGTGAAGGAGGTAAACAAGTTTGAAATGGAAAATCAAGAATTAAAAAAAAAAAAAAAACATCCCTATTTTACCCCTAAATAATTTAGCGAAAATATTTTGGCCTTTTAATCAAAATAAATCTCATTCGTGCAGCTTAAAGATTGGAAGGCCATAATTAGTTCTTAAGTACGCATATTAAGATGGTTCTTATGTATATGATATTCACTATCATTTTTTTTTTTGAAAATACCTTACGGATTTTGAAATATATAAATTGTTGCTGAATCCCTTCCCTACGGCGATGTTGGCACGAAGCAAATGGTTTTTTTTTCTTTTTTTTTTTTTGTCGTCAGTGGTCGGAAATCTTCCGGCACGGTGGCGCTGGGTTGCTGCTGGTTTCGGACACTCCTTGTCGGTCAGATGCTCGCATCGCAGATATGGGACGTGGCAACAGAGACACCGCTGTGATGGTGGCGGACGGCAGTTGGACGCGACAGTGTAAACGCCCGGCGGTGAAGGCAGCTGCAGTGAAGGCAGTTGGAAGATTGCGTTTTTTGAAGAGCTTTCACTGAGGGTTGCGTGTTTCTTTTATTAAATGCCTAAAGCGTTCTTCAAAAAAATGGATAATGGTTTGTTTTTATTTATTGGACCTCCTCACTCTAAAAATTGGAGGCCTTTGTGGCCCAATACTTATTTATTCACTTCAAATGCTAAACCTTTTATTCCCAATAACTTTGTGGGTTGGGTCATCCAATTTATTTTAAATAGATCCAAGGCCCCATACTCTTTACTTCTACAAAATAAATATTTCCTTGGTGTACCTCATAAAAGAAAATATTCCTTTTCATGTAGAACATGGTTGCTATCACCAAGCGCGAATTTACTGAGCTTGTCCTAGACGGGAGCAACTTTTTAACTTGAGTACCTCACCGAAAAAGACCCTATACTTTAAAATGAGTAGCTTATTATAACTCAGCTTTACATAAAATTGTGTCCCAACTCAAACTTTTTAAAAATAAGATCTCTGAGACGGACTTGATTAAAAAACCTTGTCCACTTTCCATGCAAATAACATTGTACTCCAGCAGCAGTATAGGGCGAAAATTATACGAAAAATTCTAAGTTGATCTACGCTTTACTAGTTGCTGAGTTAATAATGCATGCCCAGCTGGCGCTGCACCGGTGCCTGAAGCACACAATGTTCCTCAATCGAGCAACACTAGGGAGGGGACGAGGAAGAAGACACAAAAAATGTCACGGTAGAGGTCAAAAGAGATGTGGTAGTAGTGGAGCAAAAAATAATGACTCACGAAATCAGAACAGGCAGCCCAATGATCAAGCTCGTCGAGGATTACCAAATCTATCCCATCATAACTCTGGCTAATCACAAATATGCTATAAGTGTGGGTGTAAAGGACACTGATCCCGAATGTGCTGCACTTTTAAGCATTTGGTGGAAGCCTATCAGAAGATGATAAAGCAAGATAATGAGCATAAGAAAAATGATTATCAAGTTGCATTGCCTGAAGCAAATGTTCTAATCAATGATAATGATGACTTTTTGGGCAATGAGATTGAGGATTATGGAGACCAAGCATGAT